CTGTATAACCCTTCTTACTCCAACATTTAAGTGTCCCACATGTTTGACTATCTGCTTGCCCCTTTCCTCAAGAGTTCTGTTAATTCCCTCTACACTTGGCCATTTTATTACACTGAATAATAGTGTTTGATAGACCAAGTCTCTCATTAGACTGACTTTTTTTTTGAGTAGATAAACACTGCATTGTTCACCTGCATATTTTTGGTAATTAGCACTTGACATCTGAAAATAATTGAGACTATTTTCTTTTTTTAAATATATTTCTAGGTCAAAATATATTCTCATTTAACTTATTTGATGTTAGAAGTCAAATATTTATGGAAGTCTAAGTTCCCATAAATATATATGACATTCCCAATGTTGATTATCTTGGAATGTGTTCATCCAGACCAATTAGATAAAAGCAAATTGTCAACACATGCTGTTTATAATTGCTTCAGTTGTCTTTTAATAGCAATGCCAAGGATTAAAAATTGAATTACTTGTTTGATTGATTTTATATATGTGGTTTAATGATTTACCAATAAGAGAAACAATATCATATTTTTAACTTAAAAAAATTTTGAAAACATGTGTCATCTGATTTTACATTTACATTAGTTCGATATTTTTACAATATCGAACTTTTAAATGGAAAAAAAACCACCCTATAATAATAAAAGCATAATATGCAAAATGACTAAATGGCCAAACAATGGACGACCATCCAGATGACCTTCCAGTTGACCTTCTGGATGAAGCCAGGGCTGTGAATTCCTACTCTTGCACAAATTTCATGCATTGTCCTTCTATTTTTTATTATATAAATGTAAGTAAAACCACACAAATATGACAAAGATGAAAAACTGCACATATTTTTAATTCTGATCTTTGTGGAAAAGTAATAGATTTAAAATAATTGTCAAAGGTAAATATGAATGTATAAGATAGAAAGCTAATATGATTATTAAGTTAGCTTTATAAAAACTTTTCTTGATCTCTTAAAAAACAAAATACCATATATTTCCAATGTTCAAATAAATGTATATATTCATACTTGAAAATGTTAATGTAGACAAAATTAGATGAATATTTAAAAGTCTTTGTATTATTAGAATCATGATAATTTTTTCTATCTGGTTGAAGTAAACAATCACATTTTTTCTGTTCATGGAATATAGAGTTTAAATAGCTATCGCCATAGTTTGTGAGGCCCTTCTGTGTGGATAATTTAAACATATGAGTGCAAGACAACACTCAGCATAATGTATATTATGGTTTTCTGGATGGACTCTCATTTTTATTATAAGGAACCTTTTATATATTGATTTATTTTTTATTATGTTGACCTTTTCAAGACACTTTTTGTTGCCTACCTTATTTTGCATAGCAGTACTGGACTAATATTACATACATATTTCACATAACATCACATACTTTTAGTGTTAAAGCACTATAAAAAGAAAACAATATTATTACTTTTTCATCGGTATTTACCAACTTTTTGAATAATTTCACATTAATATGTAAATATTTGTTAAATTTATCTTAAATGTTTTGTTTTATATTTCCATAAATATTAGTACACTACATTCAAAGAAGAATGACAGATAATGTACTTTAATGAAAATAACAGAAGAAAATAAAACAAGTGTTGGTGAAAAATGTGATGGTTTTAACTTTCAAAGGAAAATGAATGTAGAGAACATGTCCTTGAAAACAGGCATTATAACTTTTTATTTTATAACCGTTTACTTCATGTTTAATGAGAATATGGCATATTTTCTCTCAGGTTAGGGGAAAATAATAGCTTTAGACATTATCTTTGACCCTTAAACTATTGAGGGGATATGAATAATGATGAAGCAAGGGGTAGAGAGCAGTTTAAAATAGCCTACTGTGTCTCAAATAGGGACATTCAATTGTAAGTGCTAAGAATAACTTCTTATAACTTTGAAATAGCCAGCATAGGTCATTTTCTAAATGGACTATTTGTCCTCTCTGAAGTTTTTTTCTTTTTTTTTTTTTTTAGGTTCAAAATAAAATCTTAGGGCCAAAGGGGGCATCATCACATGTTAGTTTACACATCAATTTTGCAGAAAAGAAACAAGCGATAGATATGAAGTCATTGTCCCAAGCCATTTTAATTTAATACAGATATTTTCTGTCCCCTTGTGTCCCCACCTTCCTTCCCAACTCACAACTTCTGTACATATGTCTCTCTGAAAGACAACTACTTGGTTGGATATTTAGGTGCAGATACTTGTGTACATGGCTTGGGACAATGACTTCATATTGTCCCAAGTGCAAAAAGAACAACTTCTCACAACTAAAAAGCCACGATTTCTCCAGTCATTTTGACAAAGGTCACCTAATCGATATGGAATCACATGCTCAGCAGTTGTAGTGAGAGCAGACCCACTAAATGACCGGCATGGACCTGTCACCCAAAACAGACGCTGAGCCATTGGAGGCACCCTCAGCGTTAGATGAGTAAAGCAGGCCCTCCCGGGAATCTCAGGCTAAATCAAAGGCAGTGTTCTGCTGTTCATGGTGACTGAATACTTTAAGGCAATACTTGACATGAATTATTATCAACAATTTTAAAGGCAAAATATTTTCCCAAGACATAATGAAATTAGAAGTACACATGAGATTTTCTTAGGATTTAAAAAATAAAGTACAAAAAGATTGCTTTATAGATGCATTAAAAATGAAGTCTTATTTTTTACAGTTATGAATATAAGCATTAATTACCATGTGAATTAATTAAATTGTTTAATGAGTTACAGCTTAGTTTTTACATTAGCAACATTAATGAGTAAATTGTAGTTTTATTATAGGAAACATTTCTACATATGTTTATACACACACACACTCTCAATTTTATTATATAAGAACATTTCATCTGGATTGCAGTTAGTTCTAATGGCAACCTTGTGGGATAAATCAAACACTTATTATTATTTCTCTTTGGCATACCTAAGGACACTAAAATATGTAAATCACTCTCCTAAAATTCTCACAAGTGAATTTTAAACCAGAGCTCCTTCCTGGTTGAAGATTTTAGCAATCATAAGTATGCCTATGACTACTTTCAGTAAGGATTCCAAGTTGAAATGTAATTGCATTATGTTATACATGCACTTTCATTTCTAATAACACCTCAAAATAGATTAAGTGCCATTCTATTTAAAAGTATGTGTGAGACAGTATTAAAAATGTATTGACTTACAGCCAAGAAAATGAAATGAAACAAATAAAAATGACTTTCTCTTGCCACTTTCTAGACTTAATATTCTAATTGTCTATTTTACTTATAATTATCTTTATTTATTTTAAGTTGCCTCGCCTGATAGTAAAAGGAATGGTAAATATAAAAGAGTGCTTAACTGCAGCAATGAAGGCCATTTGGCTAAAAACAAAAAGCCTAGAGACTCTTAAGAGTCAGCATTGTAGAATATTACCCTGCTGAAGCAATATGCACATCCAGAGAGGTAAAGGAATATCTAAAAAAAAGTCTTTTTAATAGATTTTTTTAATTGATTTTAGAGAGGAAGGGAGAGATAGAGACAGAAACTTCAATGATGAGAGAGAGTTATTGATTGACTGCCTTCTGCATGCCCCCTACTAAGAATGGAGCCTTGTAATTAAGGCATGTGCCCAGACTTGGGAATTGAACCATGACTTCCTGGTTCATTGGTCAACGCTCAACCACTGAACCACACAGGCTGGGCTAAAAAGTTCTTAATATGAGAATTATTTTTATTTGCTGTTTCTGAAATTATCTTTAGGAGTAGACCTGCTTTTGGTCATTGGTATATATGCCAATGAGACCCTTTGTTCCTGAGTTTGAATCAGCATCACCCAGGAACTGTTACTGCACAATCCCAGGTCCAGTTCTAATGAGTCAGGATCTGCATTTTTAACAAGATCACCAAGTAACTTGTGTGCCCAGTTCAAGGTGAGAAGCCCTGGCCAGACACCATTGACCTTCTCTGCCTTATTATTTATAATCCATTTGTAGTTCCTCCAGGACAGGGATACCTAAACATGTTTATTAGTAGAGAAATTAATGGTCACATATCAAAGCACTTTGTTGCACTGGTAAGGAGCCAATATAAGAGCAATCTTGGCCAAAGTCAGATCACATACTGACCAGTTTTGGACTAGGGATAATATACTTGACCCAGGAAACAGATTGCTATATGTAAGCAGGTAACACCATGTCTCTCCTCATTGTATCACTCCCTAGAGGTGCATCACTCCCAAAATTGTCAAACAGAACTGTTGCTGACATAGCCTGATACAAATATGTGAGGTCATTGTGAGAAGACGGGTACCATGTTGAACTAATAATGATATCTTTGACTTTAAAAAATAATCATTCAGAACAAAGAACTTATTTTAGTCTTAGATAATATAATAAAAATAAAAAGAAACACTGTGACCATAGAAAAATCATTTCCCCAAGTATTAATGGCAATGAATTATAACCTAAATTTCATCTTTAATCTTTAATTAGTGTACATTTACTTAGAGTTTGGTCTTTTGTGTTATGGTCTCTTCTGTGGTAATAAGTCAAAATTTTATTATTTATAGGTTAAAACTTTGCTTTGAAACTAAACTTCTATTTGTATGTGGGCTGGGTTTTCATATATTGTTCACAGTATTTACTAGCCTGATCACTGATACTATATAATACAAATAAGAAATCTATTTATCTATCATCTATCTATCTATCATCTATCTATATGTATATATTAAGCCAGTGATGCTAATGGTATCAAGTCCCTTGCCGGGCTCTCCCTGACCCTCCCCCCCTCCCACCCCAGGAGCAGTTAGAGGAACCCCTAGGCAACACAATAGGGTATGAGCTTGATGGGGGGAAGTAAAAGAAATAGGGGCGAAGGTCTAAAGGTTCTGTGGGGTTGGAGTGGTCCATCTGGTTTGGAGTGTGCTGAGGAAGGAAAAGGAAGATCCATTTAGAAAACAGCATCACCCCCAGCTTCGACCGCTAAATGGCGCTGCAGGCCAAGCACCTGCTGAAGCCGCTGCCCAGGGACAAGCAGATTGAGATCCGGCCCTTCCTGGAGGCAGTGTCCCACCTGTTACTCTTATTCGATCGCCTTGGGTCCCCAGGGTTTACGCCCATTAAGGCAGACATAAATGGTAACATCACAAAAATCAAAGCTGTGTACAACACAGACCCTGCCAAGCTCCAGACCCTACAGAATGTCCTGGAGGCAGAGAAGGAAATGTATGGAGCAGAGTGGCCCAAAGTGGGGGCCCCGCTGGTGCTGATGTGGCTGAAAAGGGGCCTCTGCTTCATCTAGCTCTTTCTGCAGAGCATCTGTTATGGGGAGCTGGATGAAAGCCACCCCAACCTCATCTGAGTCAACTCCACCAAGGCCTATGAGATGTGAACAAGAAGTACTGGCTGGATCGTGTGCAGGAGATCTTCCAGAAGGCGCTGTATGCTGTGCCCTACAAGTCCGACTTCCTGAAAGCCACACCAAGGGCTAGTGCCTGTTCCTGGTCAACTACACAGCCACCATTGGCGTCATCTATAAGATGTACACCACAATGAACACCAAGCTCCACTATAAGGTATAGGCATGCACATTGCTGGCACTTCTAGAAACAGACAAGCCAGAATCACTGTGAAGCAAGCTGGCAATCCGCCTTGGCCTGCATCCCCCAGAGCAGCCCAGAGTTTGGCTGGGGTTGCAGAGGACAGACCTGGTTTCTCAAAAGTCATTTTGGGGGTCTACCCTAACAGAGCAATAAATAACGATCCAACTTCTGAATCAACTTTAATTTCACGGCAGCACAGACCGACTGCCTTCATTTCAGTGTGATAAAAATCAGTTAATGTTGCTAATAAGTCAAGTCCTAGGGTTTTCTGCCCCTTTCCCCCACATGGTATGTGACCCTGGGGGGACCTTGTAATATACACCTCATTTAAAAAATGAGGACCTGGTGCAGTGATGTTTCAGGTCATGTAAGGACCATAAAGAGTCTGATTTGAAATTATACAGGATTTTATTTATTTATTTATTTATTTATTTATTTATTTATTTATTTATTTATTTATTTTTTAAGCAGACTGCTGTGTGCTCTCCTGTGGTTGCACAGCTCAGTGTCATAATAGACCCTGCTCTTTCCTACTGTCTTTTTCTAGACAGGTTTTTTTTTTTTTTTTTTTTTTTTTTTTTGTAGTTGAAAACAACCAGCAAGCCTTTGATGACCTTGACCAAGGGGACTTCATTGTAAAGCTATCAGATATGAGTAATTGACCACAGATGGCTGAATTTGTATTTTTGTGCATAAGCCTACCCAACCTAAGAAACTGCCTATCATGTGTGTTCTCTCAGAGGGGAGACCAGGAGCCCTCCTGATGCCCGGACCCAAGGAAACACCTTGCTGACTTAATTATCCCTCCTGGCACTAACAAGAGCTGTATTTTGAAAAAGTTGGGTTGAATAGAAGGACCCCCAAAGAATTCATGTATGCTAAAACCCACTGAGGAACAATTGGTGATTTTTATGCAAAAACTAAGTAATTCTTAATAAATAAATCTCTATTTTGGTATCACAAAAACAAACAAACAATCAAAAAACTTTGCAGATAGTGAAGGGTAATTTATCCAGACTGTTGAGAGCTCAGAATTAGAGTTTAATTAGGATAGAAAGCCTGCTAATACCTGATGCCTGAAATCTAAGCACTCTTTTAGGTTTTCTAGTTCAAGTTTTTAGAGACTGCCTATTGAAACAATCCTGGTTGGGAAGTGTTTGTATAGAAGCCCATAAGTGTTCGCTGTATTTACCATGCTTACCTCTCTGTAAGGAATAAGGAATAATATTAAATGCCTCAAGTTTTCAAGAAGTTTGAATTTTAAAATAAAAAATAAAGAAGAAATATAAATATTAAAAATAAAAAAATAAGAATTGAATTTTAGGGGTGAAATCATGCAGGCAGGTGAGTAGTTAGGAGCCAGCAGTCCCAGATTGCAAGAGGATGTCCATGTAATCGGGCCTAAACCAGCACTTGGACATTACCCAAAAGGTCCCAGATTGTGAGAGGGTGCAGGCTGGTGTGAGGACCCATCCCCTCCTGTGTAAGAATTTTGTGCATCGGGCCTCTAATATATATATATATATATATATATATATATGTAAAATTCTAAGCAACCATTTGACCATTCAACTGGGAGCTATTACACACATTGACTACCAAGGGGCAGATGCTCAACATTCAGGCATGGAAACATGGAACAGAATGATGCATCTCAAAGAGAAGAGGTTAGGGGGAAGGGCGGGAAGAAATGAACCAAAGATTTTATATGCATACTAAAGGCCCAGTGCACAGATTCATTCACTGGTGGCGTCCCTCGGCCTGGCCTGCAGGGATCAGGCCAAAACTGGCAGTCTGACATCCTCTGAGGGATCCTGGCTGGATTGAGAGAGGTTGCAGGTCAGGTTATATGATTCCGGGCTCTAGTATTGAGATATAGAATAACACAAGTGATTTTTTTTCCCTCTGTTCACATTACCCTAGGTATGGAAACTGAAACTATGCTTAGTTCTTCAACATGAACATATATTTATTCAGAATTAATGTAGATCAATAGAAAGAATTACCAAGAAAATGAAATAATATGTATCATTATATAATGGCAAAATCTTTAATATGAATAGACAAGAACATTTATAGAAAAAGTAGGCCCTCTAAAATATCAACCCTTAAAAATGCATATGATAAATCTTTTGAATCTATAATAATACTTCTTTAATAAAACAAATTAGCACAACTTTACCTCAATTGCACACATTTCTAGACACAAAAGACCCTAGGCTACTTACAAAATCTACAATAGCAATGACAACTGTATTGTGTTATCTGAAACTCAAATGTAATTAGTTTTGGTGAATAAATAGCTGATATGATAAGTGTGAACTTCACAGAAGCACTCAATAAATCCTTCCCAATGGGACAACCTGTCCTGTGAAATAAATGTGTCCTGTCTCTTCTTGAATAACATTAAAGAAAATATTTTATCAGAAAGGTCCTGATTTGGTTCGAGAGAAGGAAGAGAATAGATAGGCATGTTTATAGACCGCTAAATTTTGTTTATTAATTATTTATCTATGATTGCTCTATATTTTTGTTTATGTACATGCATACACAAACATCTACACTAATAAAAGAGAAATATGCAAATTGATTGTGCCTCTGTGACACCCACCAGCCAATCAGGACTGATTATGCAAATTAACCCAACAAAGATTGTGGGCTAATTTGCATACCCAGGCACAGAATGGCCTGGCTGGTCTGGGTGATGGAAAGGGCAGTCAGGGGAAAGAAGGCCTATTCTTGAAGGAATCTTTGTGCATTGGGCTGCTATAATGAAAGCACACTTTTATTTTCATTTTTCCATATTTACTATTCAATTTTTTTCTAAATTCTACCCCAAATCCAAGAACTAGTTGTTATTGTTGTTGTTATTTTTAAACCCAGTGCTATGTAATACTATTTTTTCTAAAGTTATCTTGACATATAATTTTTATAAATTGATCATTATTTTTGTTAAAATATAACTAATAATATTTAAAATCACAGTCTAAAGTATCTAAGTTTAAGAAAACAAATCCTTTTAGAGATATAATACTTCGCCTTATATATTTCAAGGTTTCACAAAATTGTCTAATTGACCCAATTAATCAACAATTGACCAAAGTTGCCTAATTGGTCAATTACTGTATAGGGATTAATTATATGCAGTTCAGGAATATCTGGCAAACATGTACACCTAAAGAAGTAGTCAGTCTAAAAAATAAAATCCTTCATAATTTATGTCATCCAAGGAGGTGGATGCATGAAATGCTAATTGGCAAGCACAAAATATTTAACATAGTTTAAAGAAATATTAATCACCTGAAAGAATACTTTCTATATCATCTAGAAAGGATAAGGATCAATTGCTAACAAAATGTGTATATTTCCAAACATCTTATATGGAAAGCAATTTGATCAAAGAATGGTTCTCACCTTTGCCAGTGCCAGACCCCCTTGGATTAATGTCCTACCTACCTGAACACTTGACTGCTTTGCCATAATTGGTTGTTAATAGAAACAACTGACATAGTAAAAATAGCTATCACCACTCCCCATCAGGATTTGATCTAGAGCAACTCTAAAATGAATAATTTACAGAAGAAGTAAGAGAGAAATATGCTATTTTCACTTCTCATACTTTATAGATAATGGCCCTCAGGACATCAGACAGACATTCTAGAATTAGCACTGTTTTGACATAACATAAATCAACCTAAAGTAGCAGTAACCTTTGTTACCACATGGTTTACTGAAATATAAAGCACCTCAAAATCACACCGATTAGCAGACAAATACCTTCTGTTAACACAGATGCTAAGTACTTATTGATTTAGTTTTACCACCTAGTAGTCATTAAGGCCAAAAAAAAAAAAAAAAACTGACCACAGCACCATAAATCATTATCATGCTGAAGCATTGATTAAGTACCTGTGTGTACATAAAGGCATTTGGTGAAAGCAGATAAGGCACATCATGTAAAAATGTGAACAGTTGGAGGATGTGATGATGAGAGAGATAATGTGAGGCAGATGTGGACAGAAGGGGTAGGGCTGGCCTGAAGCCTCTGTGTGGGACTCTCCAAGTCTAATGGAAGAACATTGAGCATGCCCAGTACCTCAGTACATGTGACTGATTGGCATGGGACTTATCCTGGAATATTGTAAAATATAGTGCTACATCAAAATTAGATCTGTCTTCAATAATCCATGCATCTACATAGAACCCATTAAAAATATATTTGTTTGCATTTTTTATCTTTTTGTTATTTTCAAATGTTTTATTTAATAAGTTGGCTAAACATTTAAAAAATCTGAATGTAATGCAATCTTTTTATTTTATTTTGGAGTTGTCTTGGCTTTTAATCCTTAGGAGGGCCTGGGTTTGTAGACCTCTCTCATTTCCTCCTCATCACAGGCAAGGAGAGGGTAATTGATCAGTTATAATGACCTAAGAAATCTGTCTCAGTTTTTAAGGAGGCTAACATAACTTTCAAAACCATGAACAATTGCAAAATGCCTTGCCTATGCTGTCCCTCCCATGATTTTCCCTTAACAACCTGACATTAAAGAACTTCATGATTTCAAAGAAATGGGCTCGGCCCTAATCTTCAAAATAGCCAGAGTGCTCACCAGGGCAAGTGCTTTTTCTTTCCACTCTGATCCCTCACTGGCAAGCACAAAGCCACACACATTGGGGCTGATTGAAGCATAAAAAAGCA